CTGGGGTAATCGGGATGGGTGTGTCAGAGGCAATGAGATTGGCACAGGATAGAGCAGGGTTTAGGGCTGTTGTACATGGGGTCGCTATGAGTCGCAAGCGACTCGACGGCACATAACAACAACAAGAAGCAGCAAGACTGTCAGTATCCCTGCTAAGACTATCCAGCGGGGAAGACACGACTTCAGTGGTACACCACTTTGGTGAGTTCTTTGCCACACACAAAAACACAGTGACCCCAAAGTCCTCTCTAGCTCTATAGTCAGAGAAATTCCCTTGCATAAAATGACATGTGTATGAGGTTTTGTAGCAGCGTAGTTTGAAGTCACAAAAGCCTGTAAGCAATTTTAAAGGGAGAAATTGGTAAATTGTGGTGTGTGTTATAAATATGAAAAAAAGGAGCTGCCCTGCAAATCCAGAGACACACAGTGTTTGAGTCCATTAGAGGCTCTACTGGAGAAAGATGGGCAGCCAACTCCCCTGGGATTGACTCCCTCTGAAAACCCGCCAGAGGGTCAGCTATGAGTCGCTTCTGACTTGCTGGTACACAACAACAGTAAGAATGAAAACAAAAAGGTCTCATACTCATGATGTTTAAAGTTATCTTGTTAAATATTGTTTGACATCTACGTAACAAGGGATCTGTGTTTTAAACTTTAACTTTTAGAAATACTTTGTTTTACGTACAGGTATGCTCCATTTTTTGCCTTTGAACACGTTACTTTTACAAAGACCTGCATTGATACCGGTTTTCCCCTAACTAAAAGAAATCCAAAAAGGAATTTTTGCTTTCACTAAGAAGGGTGAAAAGCAAAACTAATGTTCTGTATTTGTTTGCAGGGAGCCGGCCTTCAAAGAGGCAGCACTTAGTCTCTCTCTCCAAGCTCTTTCCCAGAAACTGTACTTAGTACCTCAGCATCAGGCCATAGCTTCCTTTAAACTGTCTGACCACTTATATTCAGTAACTTTGGGTTATGTAATTATCTAGTAGGTTCTTTTTGGGGCCTGGGAGTGCTTCAAAAGTTTTCCCATGTAAGTTAACTATTACTTCTTGGCTTCATACCATTCCAGTTTATGAAATATTTCCTAGGAATTGTACTGAAACTGTATTCATTATAGGTGACCAGGCTCACTGTAATGAAAGAGGCTGGTTGCATTAATTCACTTGACACTTGTTGAGTCAGGATTCATGAACTTTAGAGCTTCAGGGATCTTGTGATGATGGTCTTCTAATTATTCAACTGTTTTTATTGAAAGTTTAATGCTGTTTGAACACATACTTCTTTTAACATAAACATTAACCAGTCATATTTTGTTCAAAGTTCCTGATAACATATAATTGCTTTAAAATCCTAATACCTCAGAACACCAATTTTCTAGATAATGATGTGTTGTCCAGTTCATGGTGCTGTGAAACTAGAATAGCTGCTCAGACTAAACCTTATGTTTTAATATCTATGTGTGTTTTTATTTTTTTTTTACTTGTAAAGACATATATAGAGATCTGAGAGGGTAAGGGTTGGGAGGAGCTCAATATCAAGAAAACAAAGATTCTCACCACTGGGCCAATTGGCAGCATCAGTATGCATGGTGAAGAGATTGAGATAGTTAATAGTTTTCATCTACTTGGTTCCACAGTCAACACTCTTGGTAACAGCAGCTAGGAAGTCAGGAGACAAATTGCATTGGGAAAGTCAGCTGTGAGGGACCTCTCAAGAGTACTGAAGAGCAACAACATCAGGCTGGAGACTAAGGTGTTTCTGATCCAGGCTATAGTCTTTGCAATTACGTGCTATGCATTGGAGAGTTGGACAGTGAATAGGGATGATAGAAAGAGAATTGATGCCTTTGAGTTGTGGTGCTGGAGAAGAGTGTTGAATATACCATGGACAGCTAGGAGAATAAACAGATTTGTCCTGGAGAGGATTAAGCTAGAATGTTCCCTAGAGTCAAGGATTCTGAAGCTTCGTCTGACATATTTTGGGCATGTTGAAAGGAGTGACAAGTCCTTGGAGAGGAACATTATGTTTGGGAGAGTGGAGGATGGTGCAGGAGAGGAAGACCCTTGATGAGACAGATCGATTCTGTGAGTGGAGTGTGGGAATGGATGTGTTTGGGACAGCGAGGTTGGCACAGGATAGAAAGGCATTTAGGGCTCTTGTACATAGGGTCGCTATGAGTCGCAAACGACTTGATGGCACATAACAGCAACAACCAAGAAATTGCCTTTTTCATTTGTGGGTTTCTCATTTGGGAATGGGCTGCAGACTCTCTGGCTGCTTCATGCAGAACAGAGGCATTGAGATGAAGGGGAAGGGGAGCCCACGTTAACACTTAACACATTGCCGCACACTTTCATGCTTAGAAACACATTTTTTTCCATGTATTACCGTCATTTGCTTGCTTCAGAGTGTCAAGGACTGCAGCCTCCAATATGGATTGAGGCTCCATGTCAAGAAAACAAAGATTCTTTTTTTTTTTAAGACAAAGATTCTTACCACTGGACCAATTGGCAGCATCAGGATGGATGGTGAAGAGATTGAGATTGTTCACAGCTTCAGTTTGCTTGGCTCCACAGTCAGCACTCTCGGCACCAGCAGCCAGGAAATTAGAAGATGTGTTGCCATGGGAAAGTCTGCTGTTAGGGACCTCTCCAAAGTACTGAAGAGCAATGGTGTCTCTTTGGAGACTAAGGTGCGTCTGATACAGGCCATGGTCTTTGCTATCACTTGTTATGCATCAGAGAGTTGGACAATGACTAAGGAGGACAGAAGGAGAATTGATGTCTTTAAGCTGTGGTGCTGGAGAAGAGTATAAGGACTGCTAGGAAAACAAACATATTCATCCTGGAAAGGGTCAAACTGGCTGCTCCTTGGAGGCAAGGATTCTAAGGCTCCATCTAACATACTTTGGACATGTTGCAAGGAGGGACAGGTCCTTGGAGAGAGACATCATGCTTGGGAGGGTAGAGGGACAGCGCAGAAGGGGAAGGCCTCTTTTGAGGTGGATTGATTCAGTGACTGGGGTAATCGGGATGGGTGTATAGGAGATGGTATGATTGGTACAGGACGGAGCAGAGTTTAGGGCTGTTGTACATAGGGTCACTATGAGTCGCAACTCAATGGCACATAACAAAAACAACAATAACCGTCATTTGCGGCAACATGTTAACTGATGGTCTTAAGTTGAAGCTGCATGACTTCTTGATCAGTTAGAAGATATTTTCCTGATATTTTCACTTTCTGGACTGCAAGGTGTTTGTGTGAGTCTAGTGGGAGTGGTTAGCTGAACTTTATGAGGCTCCAACCACCTTCGCTTTCTTAGCTGGCAGTTATATTTCCCTTTTGTCTCTGGAACTGAGTTCAGGGTTCAGGTCTGGAACAAGACTCAGTGTTCAGGTTACCTATAGGAAAAGGAGCAAACATAGAACAAACTTGTGGGTTACAAAGAAAAGGGCTTTGGAGTTGTTACTTACAGATGTACTGGAGGAGGAGATGGAGAAAAGTGGCTTAGATAAAATTCCTTATACATATCAGGTGGCACTCCCAGCAACCTGACAGCACTCCCCAGGGGCTAGGTGGTACTCCCTAAGGGCTGGTATGCTCTCCCCAGCGTCTGGGTGGCAATCCTCATGGGCTGGGTGGCATGCTGCCTCCACCCCCAATGCTCTTCTGAGGTCTGAACCTTGTTCCCTCCTGGAGACCAAGACCAGGGTCAGCACTTCTGACTCTAGCACCACTATCCTCTCTATCAAGTGCCCCCTTCCTCTCCAC